ACATGCAAAACAAATTTAGTTGCTAACAAAATTTCTTATTGTGCACATGTCTATCAAGCAACTGGCAAAAAAAATAAATGAGGATATATGTCGATTTGTTTTTTCTGGTTGCTTGAATGACGGATAATAGGGAGTTTACTATATACAGATAGTGAAATTATATGCAATATGTAAGCCAGCTTTCCCTATTAAGCTTGGCCTTCCAGGTCTGTATTGGTCACTGGCATCTCCTCTGCAGCTGGGCCACAGTGGTCCCTACTTCTGTGCCCCCCCGAGATTTCAGTAATCTGGCACGGTTTGCGCTCACACTGAAGTGAACTGTAAATAGAATGGTGCCACAGACCACCTCTACCAAGCGCTCCAAGGCATAGTATGCTTCACTGTGCCCACACGTGGTTCGGAGGCATCACACTACACAAACAAACCCTACTATAAGGCCAAATTGTTCTGGGCATTGCCAAGGTTCTGTTCACACCAGCAAACCATGCTAAATGCACAGCCACTTGTGTGTGCTGACAGTAAACAGTGCTGACAGTAAACAGTGCTGACAGCCAGCACAGCCCCAGCGCATCATGTGAACAAGCACTAAAACACCTACAGGGCTATTCACAAAAGGGTGAAGAGTTTGGAGAAGCAGGAGAAGTGAACAATCTAGGACAACATAGCGGATTTGAAAACATTCTCCAATTCAGCTCACTTTCCAGTTCAGCTATGTTGTCCTAGATTGTTCACTTCTCCAAACTCTTCACCCTTTTGGGAATAACCCTGCTAGTGTGAGTACACCCTTGGTCCGAGTTCCTTAAGTGTGTGCCAAGTGTAATGTTTTTCTACAATCACAAGGCCCTTTTGGAGAAACCTGTGGCCCACAGCCACTGCCTCACAAACCGCTTATGGCTGGCAGATACTTTTGATGCTTTTCAAGCTTTTGTGCGGACAGTAGATGGCTGAAAACTTGAATAGATGGGCAAATGCAGAATGCCTACAGGTGTGTTCAGCTAACATTTAGAATACTTCTGAGTTATTTCTAAGCTGCTTTGCCAATAACTTGTAGCGGGAAAAAAAAGCAGTTCTGCTACAAATACTCATGTATCTTCTGATTTCCTAGCAGGCAGCAGTGGACTAGATTTGCCTAACATGTAGACTCCTGGCACGTTTCATAACAGCAAGATGGGTGCTATGGCCAAAGCAGTGGTTTGTTAATGCAGTCTCCAAACAGGCTTTGGTCTTGATCCCCTTTTTCGGAAATTTTTTTATTCTGCAAGACCATAGTTGACGCTATGGGGGAGGGGGGCTAGACTTTAGATACATCTAAGCTCTTGCTGAATAACATCACATCCATTTTGCGGATATGAAATGTGCCATGAGTCTAGATGTTAGGCAAACCTGGCCCACTACTGGCTCTGCTAGGAAACCAGAAGATACCTTTAAATCATACCATAAAACAGCTAGTGTCAGAGCCAATCATTTTGTAATAACCAACCAAGGTAGATCAAGAGACCAGTATCGGGAGCAAATGCATACCGTCCAGGTTGAGATTATGGATCTTTGTGGAGAGGATATCCAGGTAGCTTTTACATTGCAAAATGATTACTGAAAAGTTTCTAAAAGGTGTGCCCACCCTGACTGCACGGGTCCGAGATTGGGCTTTGTGGGGGGGAAAAAAAACTCCTCTGTCTACGTGTTAAAAACCAAACTGCTGGCGGATCCAGAAAAGTGGGCTTGCCTTCAGCAGTATGTAAAAGAGCTTCCACAGTCAAGAGCTGTGGTACCATTGCCACCTTCGGAGAAAAAGCATGAAATATACTCGCCAATATTTCCGGCAAAAAAAAAGGCATCAGAAGGTTTTTGGCCAGCCCTAAATTTGAAACGGATACATGCCTTCATCAAGATTCCACCCTTTTGTATGGAGTCCCTCGAAATAAACATTTTGACCTCACCAAGGGGTCCTAAGGTTTGAAGTAAGTGGGGAACAATACAAGTTTTCCGACTTGTTCTCTCGGGCATGGACCCCAAGACTTTAACAAAGGTTCTTTTAGGTTTAATCACTCTGCTTCTCCTGTGAGGTATCCAGATGTTTTAATACGGTTGCTGCTTTTAGGCCAACTCACAACTGGCTAGTGAATTGGGGGCAAGAGACAGCAACTCCCAACACAGTCCCTGGTTTATCTGGGGGGAAGGGGGGTTCTCTGAAACAAATCACAGCAGTGTACATCTCCTGAGGAAGAAAAGAGAACAAATTGAGATAGAAGTATCAAGAATCATTCAATCTTCTTTTATGTCAGCCAGAAACTGCACAAAGCTCCTGGGCCTTCTTACGTTGACCATGCCAGTTGCGTTCTGCGGCAGTTGGCATTGTTGCATGTTTCAATTCAATTTGTGCCCTCAATGGAACCATCAAGAGTTGAGGCAAAATATTTCCCCTGCAAAGATGGGCAGAAAGTCAGCAAAATGGTGGACGGTGGAACAGATTTTGTCACAGGGCAGGCCTTTGAATCCTCGCAACTCAGTCATACTTACTACAGATGCCAGTTTCAAGGGCTGAGGGGCCCATTGCAACAGTTTAGTTGCCCAGGGCAGGTGGCCTTGGAACACACGCCAGCTCTAATCAACTAGAATGGAGGGCAGTTATCACGCACTGAAATCTTTCAGATATTGCTTGCAGGGATGACGGGTAGAAGTTCTTTTGGGCAACAAGACGACTGTCTTATCTAGGCAAACAGGGTGGAACAAGATTTTCTGCTGGTCAGAGAAACATCTGTAACACCTATCACAGCAGGATTACATTCCCCTTCTGAGATATGGGCTCATTGATCGATGGGCATTGCATCCTATTGTGTCTGAAACTTTTGCCAGGTTGGTCATCTCCAAGACTTTGCTCATTAAATTTTTCCTTTGTGCATCATTTTGGTGTTGGTGTTATTGATGGGCTTTTTGTCGCACCCTTATGTCATTATTGGTGGTTATGTCCCTTAGTGGGCTGACATAAGGAATTCCAGAAATGTGGAAAATTGTTTTGTATGCTTACAATAATTTTCCTTTCCTGCATCTCCTTATATCAGCCATGCAATTTCCCCTTGTGCTGTCACAAGTGCTATTAAATTAAACATTGTGGGTGGAGGATAGCCTCCCTTTTATGAGATAGTCCTGTAAGGGTCAGCGAGCGAGGCTGACCATAGCAGGAAGACATGAGGAGATGCCATGAAGGAGATGCCATGAAAGTATAATTAAGGTAAGCATCAGAAAACAGATTTTCCAAAATTTGTTTAACCTCAAAGCATGAATGGATCTCAATAGAACCTGCTGCGTCCACAGAATTGCATTGCAAAGCAGGTCACAAATGCAGCCATAAAACAGTTATCCACAATACATAACCAAATAAAATGCAGTCTCCTGTCTTGCATGAGTCAAATGCAGCAAAACAAACACCCATCACACCAACCCTTACTTAACGTACATATGGTAAGAAATTTGGTGTGGTAGGTCAAGCAAAATTCTCAGTTTAGTCATTTAGAGAACTCTGCTGAGGCACATTAGGCTGACCACTAGGGCTGCAACAACTAATCGACATAATCGATTATTTAAAAAGTTGTGAACTTTTTCAATCATCGATTAATCGGCTTCCGATTTAGTTGGCCCAGTTCAGGGCTCCACACACGCTGCGTGCCGCACTTCCTCCCCACCTCACGCTTGCCACTGCCAGACCCGCATGCCGCATCCACGCCGCACCTCCTCACGCTCACGACTCGCTCACATCCACGATCGGCACAGGGACGCGGGGAGAAGAAGTAAGGAGGAGCAGGTGTGGGGGGGGGGATGACAGCTGCCGATAGACAGGCCCGATCTCAGAAGCAAGTTACTGAAAGACTGCTCAGGTAAACCTGCACTTTCTCACATATGGTGCTCTATAATGTATTGCTGGGATTTGTAGTCCTCTATAGCCGATGGTACATTGTGCTGTATATTATACAGAGTACTGTATCACCAGGAATACAAATCCCAGCAATACATTATACACTGTATGTATAATGTATTGCTGAGATTTGTTGTATCCCTATATAGCTGGTGATATTCTGCATTGCGCTGTATAGAGGACTACAAATCCCAGCAATAGTACATTATACAGTGGTGCAATGCCATATACTAACAGCTATAGAGGACTACAAAACCCAGCAATAGTACATTATACAGCGCAATGCAGAATACCGCCAGCTATACATGTACTATTGTTGGGATTTGTTGTAGTCCTCTATAGCTGGCGGTATTCTGCATTGCGCTGTATAATGTACTATTGCTGGGTTTTGTAGTCCTCTATAGCCAGTGCCATTCTGCATTCATTGCTGTATAATTTTACACTTTCCATTTCACTATATTGCACACCACACTATCTTTTTTTTCTTTTTTACTTCCACCGCTCCAAGCTTGCTCCTGTGATGGACTACAATCTCAATACAAACTAGTAGTCCCATCGCTGGAGCAATTTTTTAAAATTTATTTTATTTTTTTTATCCGATTAATTGAACTTAATAATCGGCTAACTAATCGATTTTTGAAAATAATCGTTAGCTGTAGCTCTACTGGCCACCATTTCATGTCACTCATGTTGTCCAATGGTTATTTCCCATGCTTGAGAAATATACCTTTGAAATAATTGTGTTCTTGTCAAGTATGAACACCGGGACAGTATAAAATCAAAAATCATTGGATTCACAGTTTATTTTACAATATTTGAGAAGTCTACAAGTTAAGGCAAACATACTGATGCATTAGCATTAGGAAATTGGAGCAATCTGAAATATCTAAGAAAATGTTTAATAAAAAAAATAGAGTTCGGTAAATCAAGAAAAAAAAAAAGAAGAGGCTTAGAAAATCATTACATGGAACCTGGACAAGGTATAAGATGTGAACAACTAATGGCAATGTTAAAATCCATTCGAACCATGAATGTCGAACATCATCGAAGATTAACATACACTGGTATATAAGATTGGCATTGTTATGTAGTACAGTTCATAACAAGTACAGCATTTAACTGCTTTCAAAAAGAAAACATAAAAAAACAGGGAGATTTTGTGACGTACTAGAAAGTGTACAATGACTAAATAAAAGGTACATGTGGGAACATCGGGTGTGGGCTCCACAGCACAGTGCTGTTATCGAGGTGGAAGCAGCCCAACACTTCTGCATGGGTTTGTCCTTGCCGAGCTAGATATGCCCAATGGAGCAGTCCATGGAAAAATGGCGGCTCTCAGAGGTCAAAGGAGGGTCTGGTTACTTCAAACATCTGGACTTAGTGTGCTTTATGGTTTACCATTTAACACAGCCAAGCAACTTTGCAGCAGCTGCAAATTACCCTGCGGGAGGTAAGGAAATTCAAATGATTAGTGATCAACATATTTACCATAATATATAGTTTGCTGTGTACCTGTCATTTTGTTACAAAATATCATTACATGCACATTCATGTGTTTACTATATGCAAAAATGACAGCTTTGTAATTCTGCATTACTTTTCACTTTAGTAGGAAACACAGATTGTTACCACAGCAACAACTCTTTCGGGGTTTTCTGAAGTTTGAATAAAACAGCAAGTGTTTATAACGTCTACCTTGGCGTGCTTTAGTTCCAGTTCAGCCAGTTCTACTAGATTTTTACGGAAAGCAGTCACTCTTCTGGTTTTGAAATCCATCAATTCTAAAGTGAATAAAAACACGATAACAGATAATGAGCTTATTTGGAGTAAACCTCAAAATTGAACTTCTCGTATATGCCCTTTGCTGGTCTATTACATATTAAACGTGTTTTGTTATAATTGTTCAACAAGTACACGTCAATTGGTTACACATTAGAAATATGTGAACTTCAGAATTTTACTTGCGCAATGAAGCACAAGTACATACGTCTTTTGTAATTAGAGACAGAGCTGTCCTGCATACATAAAAAATAAATTCCTCATTTATCTCCTTAACCCCTTCATGAGCGAGGCCTTTTCTTCATTTTTTGCACCCATGTTATATTCCACATTTTAGGCCTGAAAATTACTTAAAACCCCCAAACAGGGCAGCCATCAGGGGGGTACGGCCGACACTCATGTAAGGGGCCTGGGCAGCCTGGGGGGCCCGCCCGGGTCCCTTACATGACTATCGGCCGTCGGTGAAGGGCGAGGAGGAGGAGGACTGGCCCTTGCAGGGCCCCAGCATTGCCGCTCCAGCGGCTTCGAGACAAGCTGGGGCCCCATCAGCAATGCTGCTCGTCTGATGTCGTACTGGCCGGAAGTGACGTCACGTTAGTGACGTGACGTCACTTCTGGCCTGTCCAGCGCGAGACGAGGCCACGCGTGCAGGTAAGAGCTAGGAAGGTAGGAAGGAAAGGAGGGAGGGATGCAGCCCTTACCAGCCCACCTGAGACCCCTTCAGAGCTCACCATAGACAGTCTCAGATGGGCTGTGCAGCATCTATGGTGGGCTCTGCAGGGTCACTCTCAGGTGGGTGTCCAGCGCGCCGCTAAGCCCTGCGTCCAGCGCGTCACTAAGTCCGTGTCCAGCGGCTAGGGGGGGCGGCCTAAAGCCGTGTAAAGTGGTGTAAAGATTTATTTAAAAAACTTATTTTTTTACTTTGATTGCTATCACAATGGGGGAGGCTTACAAGCTGGTGGTGACAGGTACTCTTTAAGGTGATGCTGGGGGTCCAAAAAGACCCCCAGTGAAGTGCTTATCGCACTTCAACAGATTATAGCTATGTCCCGGGCCCGTAGGAGGGGCAACGGAGCCCGGGAAGCACGGCAGGAGTGTCGGGCGGGGGGACCCCTTCACCGGGCCATAGAAGTGATCTGGCGACAGCTGAGTCACCAGAATCGCTTCTATTGTAAAGGCGTCAGTAGGCTTTACAAAGTTTAAACAGAGACCCGGCAGCTTTCTGTTTAAACAGCCCCAATGCTAGCGACGTACACTGAACGTCGTTAGTCATGAAGGGGTTAAGGACAAAAGGCCTTTTTCATTTTTTGCACCCATGTTATAATCCACATTTTAGGCCTGAAAGTTACTTCAAACCCCCAAACATGATATATTTTCTGAAAGCCAAGACCCATTAGAATAAAATGGTGGCAGTTGCAAATTTTTATGTTGCACGACATTAGCGCAACATGTTATCAAACCCAAAAATGTTGTGAAAAATGCGGTAACAGCGAGTAAATAGATACCCAACATGCCCAGGTAAAAATTGTGTGTCCGTAAAACTGCGGCAGAATTCAGTACCCCAAAAAGTCAATAGACGACGCTTTAAAAGCCCCTACAGGTCATCAGTTTGGAGATGCGTGTAAATATTGGCCCTAGAATTATTGTCTCACTCTGGTGTGCGCAGTGATACCCAACATGTGTAACGCAATCGTTATTTTCATACGTAGGCGCACCCGATGCGTGTTTACGTGATGTGCGTGCTCGCTGGGGCCTTTAAAAAATGTGTTATTTTTACATTTAGTATTATTTTTAAAACTTTTTTTTTTTTAAACTTTACTTTAATTGCCAACACATAGGGGGACTTACAAGCCCCACACGTGATAGCATATTGCTGGTGACAGGTCCTCTATAAAGGTGATACTGTGGGTTCAAAAGACCCTTAGTATCACCTTTACACTTTAAATAAGCTATTGAAGTGCAGATCGCACTTCAATAGCTTATTGCTGGGCTTCAGGAGCCCAGCAATGACAGCTATGGGACGTGAAGTGATGCAATATGCGTCGCTCCCAGTCCCATAGTACTGGGAGGAAATCTGTGAACGGACGTTCACCGATGATCTCCCTAGCTCTCGTCAACAGCCAGCAAGCCGATCCCGGGCCTGTAGGAGGGGCAGCAGAGCCCAGGAAACAAGGCGAGGGCAGCCCGGTTACCGGATCGTAGAAGCCTTA